AATTAATCATTATATCTAGAGTACCTGGCACACGGACAACTCTGAAATTATTTGAAATTCTGCCACACATCACTGCCTTATTGATGATGCTGGGAATTGGTAGATTCAAAGATAAATTGATCTTAGCTATTAGAACTCAAGAGACTGTAACTGAAAAACTTAGAAAAGAAAGCATCATTGCTATAGACCTTTATATATATCCTATCACCTCTTACTGTTGTCCATCTCTTCAAATTAATTTGCTCTTTGCAATTTATTGAAAAGATTTATTTTTCCATTATTGTCTGATGATTGTCTCTTATACTACGTGTGTATGTGTGTCCCTGCACTCTAGAAAGTATTAAAATGTTTATACTAGTGCTAATTTTAGATTGAAAAATGAGGTGCTTTTGTCCTAATTTGGTGTCCTTAGAAACATTCATGGTAATACTTTCCATGTTGCAAACAATGCTCTTACCAGAGGAGGACATTGTCATCTCATTAGAATTGCAAGAAAATTTATATTTTGAAAAAGATGTGTATTTGGAGAGTAAAACATTTGTGACTGGGGCTGTGGATTATTTTATAAAATGAATGCGTTTTTCCTCTAAGAATTTTTTTTTATCTTCCTGTAGATGACAGAAACACACACTTTTGAAATCCTTAACATCCTGGAGTTCTCTAGGTAAGCTCTCTTCTCATACAGTTCATGTATTTTCAAAGTCAGTTTCCACAACTTTTCCAATTGAGATTTGGTAATGTGAATCAAAATTTCAAAACAGAATCATGAAAGTCTTGTTAGCCTCTATGTGGAAATCTTAGCTCAGTTCTTGGTTTTTGCAAAGAACTCATTAGGCCAAATTCCCCTTAGTAAGTTGTGTACAGAGTCAAATACCTCCCTTTGATAGCACTGCCAAGGTCATAATTGCGATTTTGGATCTGTTATAATTTTACCATCTCACTGACTAGACAATAGCTCCCAAGGGCAATGATCACCTTCTATAGGGTCTGCTGTCCAGGAAATACTCAGTGAATAATTAGTGTAAGGATGGATGTTGGAAATTATTTTCAAAAACCCAACATGTTTCTTTAAAAGTAGTCAGTAAATTAATTCTTTTTTTTTTTTTTCTTTTTAAAGGGCAGTGATGTGCATTCAAGTCCTTCCTGCTTCTTACACTTCAGTGGGTTGTTGTTCTAGCACCAACAGCTAATTCCCCAGAGTACATTGTGAGGATGGTGATGCTAATACTAATTTTATTGAACTTTTCTGCAAGACTTATGAAATCATATCTCTTGAACTCTTTGAGCATTCTAATGTAGAAACTGAAAATTTAGGAAAGGAAATGATGAAGTTACTCATTAACTCTTCTCAAAGTTGGATGATTCTGTTTATATCATATTTTTAAAGACTTATTTCCTAATGACATTTTTAAAAAACCAAAAGAAATTTAACAAGTTTTTAAGACCTGGCAAAGTTGTCATCAACTTCCCCTCACACACACCTTGAGAGCTTTTTCCAAAATCTTTTTTTATTTTTATTTTGACTTTCCATAACTTTGATTAATTATAGTATATTAACTCCATGGCTTAAATATTTGTACTTCTTTTAACATTTTTTTTGAAATGTGACATTTTTGAAATTTGCTTTATATATCCTTTTTTAATTAGTATTGGAGCTTTATAGTTATAAATAGTAGTCAGGTTCATCCCGACAAACTCATACATACACGGAAATCGATTTTACTTCATGATCCCCCTCTTTTTCCTTCCCATTTTCCCTCCCCTCCCCCATTGTCTTTCCTCTACTAGACTTCCTTTCATTGACCTATTAATTTATAGTTGGTTATTTATGCTCTTTTATCCTTCTCTCATCCTTTCACTTCTTTTACTCTCGCTTCTGCATATGAGAGAAAATATTAAACTTTTGAGTTTCTGAGTTTGGCTGATTTCTGCTAGCATGATATTCTCCATTTCCATCCATTCACTGGCTAATGCCACAATTTCATTCTTTTTAATGGTTGAGTAGAACTCTATTGTGTATTTATACACAATTTCTTAATCCATTCATCTGTTAGTGGGCATCCATAATTTAGCTATTATGAATTTTTCTGCTGTAAACATGGATGTGGCTGTGTCAGTGTAGTACACTGATTTTTAGATGTTTTGAGAAAATACCCAGGAGTGGGGTAGTAGGGTCGTATATTCGATGCATTCCTATTTTTTTATGAGGAATCTCCATATTGCTTTCTAGAGTGGTTGGGCTAGTTCACAGTCCCATCAAAAATATCTGAGTGTTCCTTTCTTCCCACAACCTCACCAGCATTTGTTGTTGTTTGTGGTCTTGATCATTGCCATTCTGACTACTGTTAAGTTTTTTGAATTCTTTATATATTCTAGATATTATTTCTCTGTCAGAAGAGTAGCTAGCAAAGATTTTCTCCCATTTATTGCTAGTTGTTGGTTTCTTTAGGTTTTTCTCTGTCTTTTTGGTTCAGTTTTCATAGATGGTATTTGTCCAGAAATGTATCTGTTTATTCTAGGTTTTCCAGCTTATTGGAGTACAAGTTTTCAAAATATTTCCTAATGATCCACTGGATTCTGTAACTGGTAATCCCTCCTTTTTCATCTCTAATTTTATTAATTTGTGTTTTCTCTCTCCTTCTTTTGGTTAGTATGGTTATGGGCTTATCAATATTGTTTATCTTTTCAAAGAACCAACTCTTGTTTCATTAGTCTTCTGTATTTTTTTATTCTCAATTTGATTGATCTCTGCTCTGATATTAACTATTTTCTTCTTCCTACTGGTTTTGGAATTGGTTTATTATCCTTTTTCATGGACTTTGAGATGCATCGTTAGGTTGTTCATTTGGGATCTTTCTGATTTTCTTATGTAGGAACATACACATATAAACTGTCCTCTTAGAACTGCCTTTATAGTGTCCCAGAGGTTCTAATATGTTGTATCACTATCATCATTTGAATCTAAGAATTTTTAAATTTCTCCCTTAATTTCTTTTATCACCTATTCATCATTCAAAAGTGTATTGTTCAATCTCCACAAATTTACATAGTTTCTGTACAGTTTTGTCATGTTGATTTCTAATTTCAATCCATTATGATCTGATAAGATGCAAAGAATTATATTTTGTATTTACTAATAGCTGCTTTGTGGCCTATTTATGGTTTGTTGTGGAGAAGGTTCCATGAGTCACTGAGAAGAGTGTATTCATCTGTTTGATGAAATATTCTATAGCTGACTGCTAAGTGCATTTGATTTATAATATTTTTCAGGTCTAAAGAGTCTTTACTGAATTTATGTCTGTATGATCTAATAGTGATAGAGATGTGTTGAAATCATTCAGTATTATTATGCTAGGGCATGAGACTTCAATTTGAGTAGTGTCTCTTTTATGTAATTGCAACCATATTTGGGGCATAAATATTTACTATTGCTATTTCTTCTTGTATTTTTCTCTTTACCAGTATTTTTCTTTACCAGTATGAAGTGACCTCCTTTGTCTCTTTTGATTAATTTTGGTTTGTAGTCTACTTTGTAAGATAAGAGAGTAGCTACTCCTCCCTATTTTAGAGCTCCATTTGCATGATACATCAATTTCCATCTTTTTACTTTCATCTTGTGGCTGTCTTTGCCTATAAGGTGAATTTCTTACAAATAGCATATTGTTGAGGATTGCTTTTTAAACTCATTCTGTTAGCCTATGTCTTTTAGTTGGAGAGTTGAGATCATTTACATTCAAAGTTATTACCAGGAGATGTTTATTAATTCCTGAGATGTTTATTAATTCCTGTCATTTTGATTTATTTATAATGTTTAATTTTGTCCTGTTTCTCATTTACTTAGCTACTCTTAAAATGAGATTTTTTTTCATTTATGAACTCTGAGAGGTTTTTTTGTAAATTTCTTCTCTGTGGAGTATTTCAATAAGTAAGTCCTATAGAGCTGGTTCAGTTGTCATGAATTCTTTTAGTTTGTGCTCATCCTGGAAACTGGTGAAGGAAGAACAAACCTGCCCTGGGCTTCATGTATTATTCCATCCTCACAACTCTTTCAAATAGATCTTCCTGTCCCCATTTTGCTGCCCTACTCTGTCAACTTGTGGCATCCCTGGATACCGACAGGGCCACTACAAGTTCACAGGGTAGAGACTCTGCTGTTGATCTAAACTCAACCATGAAGGCTAGCCATTTTGTTGTCCAACTCTGAGATTCTGTCTTCAAAATGGATTACTTTTAGAGACTTTCAGCTGAACATATAGTTGATTTATTTTGTCTTTAATTTCCAAGTTTATGTTTTGTTCTTTTTCAATATTTCTATCTTTTTATGGAATTTCTCATTCATATCCTATACTGACTTCCTTAATTCATTCAGTTGTTTTTCTTTGGTCTCTTGGAATCCATCGATTATTTTTATAATGATTCTTTTGAATTCTTCATCTGATATTTAATCCACTTCAATATCTTTGGGATCAATTGCTGGTGAATCATAAACCTGAGGAGGTGTTGTTTATCTTGAATTTTTCGTATTTCTATGTTGAGTCTGGGAGATACTGGGTGGGCCTTTTCTGGACACAGTCTTCACTTGCTAGAGTGATCTAGACTGAGATTCCTTTGTAGGTGTGGTATCCACAGCTTTTATGTTAATTCTCTGTTTTTGCTGTAATAGTAAATGACCACAGGTGGGACCTGGGGGTCCACCTCTATCTGTTTCTACTTGAGGCTTGGTTGTTAGTTTTGGTTTTTGTCTCTTCTATTATTTGTATTAAAGTACAGCTGAAGATTGAGTGTTATTGATTTGTGTATAAAGCAAGATGCACTGTCTTTTGGTTGTGTTTAGTTCAACAGCAGAGTCTCTACCCTGTGAACTTGTAGTGGCCCTGTCAGAACCTAGGGATACTACAAGTTGACAGTGAGGGTAGGGCAGCAAAATGGGGACAGGAAGATCCACCAAAGAGTTGTGAGGATGGAATAATACATGAAGCCCAGGGCAGGTTTGTTCTTCCTTCATCAGTTTATTTTATTTTTTTATTTTGTATGTGTTCATTTTAGTTATACATGACAGTAAATGTGTTTTAGTTATACATGACAGTAGAATATCATACATACAGAGAGTATAATTTCCCTTTATTGTGGTTTTACGTGATACACTAGTTGTGTATTCATATTTGAACATAGGAATGTCATGTCTGATTCATTCTACTGTTTTTCCCATTTTCATTCTCCCTCCCTTCCTGTTACTCCCCCCTGTCCAATTCAGTGAACCTCCATTCCTCCCTTCCCCCACCTATTGTGAGTCAACATCTGCATATCAGGCGGAACTTTAGGCCTTTAGTTTGGGGTGTTGGCTTATTTCACTGAGCATGATAAACTCCAGTTACATTTATCAGCAAATGCCATAATTTTATTTCTCTTTCAGGCTGAATAATATTCCATTGTGTGTATGTACCACATTTTCTTTATCCATTCATTCTGTTGAAGGGCATCTAGGTTGGTTCCATAGCTTAGCTTTTGTGAATTGAACTGCTGTAAACATTGATGTGTCCGCATCACTATAATATTCGGACTTTAAGTCTTCTGAGTATATATTGAGGAGTGGGATAACTGGGTCAAATGGTGGTACCATTCCAAGTTTTCTGAAGAATCTCCATACTGCTTTGCATAGTGGTTGAACCAATTTGCAGTCCCATTAACAGTGTATGAGTGTACCTTTTCCCCACATCCTCATCAACATTTATTATTACTTATATTCTTGATAATTTCCATTCTGACTGGAGTGAGATGAAATTGCAGAGATGTTGAACTTTTTAGTATATACATTTGTTGACCAATTGTATTTCTTCTGTGAAATGGTCTATTTAGTTCCTTTGCCCATTTTTGATTGGGTTATTTTTTTTTGGTGTTAAGTTTTTTGAGTTTTTAATATATCCTGGAGATTAATGGTCTGAGGTGCAGATGGCAAAGATTTTCTCCCATTCTGTAGGCTCTCTCTTCACGTTCTTGATTATTTCCTTTTCTGCCTTCAAAGATTTTAATGATTATTTTATTTTATGTACTTATGATAATATAATATTAGAAATTAAAATATAATATATAGAGTGTATATAAAACATAATATATAACATATAAAATATATTTTAATATATGTACATATTTTGTATCATTAATATAATAAAATTTACATAGGTTTAATACCAGTAACTATATTACATTTATTATAATATGTGTAATATATGTTACATGATAAAAGTCTACATTCATTACATATATCATAATCATTTTATATGATATAAATATATTACACATGTGATATATATTATATATATACTTGTGCTAGTGAATTTCCATGTTAGAAAAGAAGAGTAACTTCTGAGTAGTAGTAGTAGTAGAAGGTTGGAGAGATTTACAGTTAGGATCCTAGTTTAAGGAACTAGGTAAAGAAAAGGAAATGGAGACTGGCAATTGAAGAAACATGTTGATTTTTTCATCAATTGTCAGCTGAGGACTCTATGGAATTCTTTTGACTTTAGTTTGTGTTATGTACTAAAGAAAATAATGATAATTTTTATATCGTTTTAGCAATAGAAAAAGGATGTCAATAATTGTACGGACTCCTGCAGGACATCTTCGGCTATACTGCAAAGGGGCAGTAAGTGTTGGGATTCATAATTCACATGAACTCTTTCTCTCCCTGCTCCACCAACTTGTAGAAAGTTGTTCACAACTTAACAATATCTTTAAATGGTGTTTTCTCTCTGCTGTTGCTTTTGGTTGTCAACAGCATTATCCAAGACTAAAACTTCATTGCATGGTGGCCAGAGAACTTTCTCACTGCCAGAGTTCTGATGTGAGACACCAGAATACTTGTTAAGCTTAACGTCAGTGATATGTTTGCTGTCATTTGGTTGTTTTATTGAGAACTAGTGATAAGATTGTTTGTGTCAAGAATTTGTCATAGGAATTCTGATCCCTGTTTCATTTCAAAGAATTTAGATTTGGTACATGTCATGAATTTCTTTTAACCTTTGTAAACCTTTTTAAAAAAGTATTTATATGTTTATTTACCACCATATAAGTTTTCTGAGGTATGATTAAAGTTTATTGAAGTAAAATAAACTGTATATTTAAAGTGCACAAATTGTTAAGTTTTGATCCTGATTTGTTTTTTGTCACCATATATTTACATTCACTAAAATATTACATAAATGAAACAAGGGTGTGTGTGTGTGTGTGTGTGCATGTTTGTTAGGCTTCTTGCATTCTTAATCATACTGAGATTTGTCCACATTGTAACTCATACCAGTAGTTCACTTCTTTGTGATGCTGAGTGGTATTTTCCTTTGATGGCTGTATCATAGTCTGCTTATCCATTCACCTGTTGGTGGATATTTTGTTTGCAGTTTTGACTACTACAAATAATAGTTCTATCAGCATTTGTGTGCAAGTTTCATTGGTTTTATTTTTATTGGATGTATATACCTAGGAGTAAAATGACGGGATCACATGGCAGGTATATGTTTAACCAAACTGTGGTTACACTCCTACCAACAATCCTTGTCAATACTTTGTGTTGTTAGTCTTTTTAATTGTAGCCTTTTAATTTTTAATTGTTTATTTCATTGGGGCTTTTATTTACATTTACATACTGTGATGGGATACTGAGCTTCTTTTCTGGGGTTTATTTGTCATCTGTGTTGGGGGTCTCCAAGACCATTCCTATGGAGATTTACTAGCGGGAATCATCAGACTCATCACATAGTTTCCTCATGGCTAAGATTTTAATAGTAGCACAGTAAGAATGCACAGACAGATCTTAAGGGGAAAGACATAAGGTGGAGTTTGGAGGAATCAATTTCCATGGAGTCACAAAGGGAAAGTTTATATGAGTTTAGTGACTTGTGTACCAGCCAAGTTCCTAGATGCCAGCCAAGGGCCAACCTTATAAGAAGGTGTTTCTGAAGATAACAGTCTCTAACCTGATATGTTAACTCTGTCTTGCATACCATCCACTTATTTCTTTGGTGAAAAGTCTTCTTAAATATTTGATCTCCCTTGGTTAAAAAAAAAAACTTAATTTTTTAGAGGTAATATTCCCTCAGCTTATATTCTTTAAGTGATCATAAAGAACATAAGTAATTGGTAGAATTTACCAGTAAATTAATTCATGTTTCTCCTTTGGAAGATTTGATTATTGGTTCAATTTCTTTAATTTATGTAGGACTATTCAGATTGTCTATTTCTTCATGTGTGAGTTTTGGCAGATTGCATCTTTCAAGAAATTGGTCTATTTTGTTCAGTCATATCTATAAATTTGATATTTTTTATCTTCTCTCTTTTTCCTGATTGGCTGGCTAAACAGTTATTAGATATATTGATTTTCCTCAAAGAAACTGCTTTTAACCTTATTGATTTTTCTTGAAAGCTTTCTTACCTTCTATTTCACTGATTTCTACTCTTTATTTTTTCCATAAATTTGTCTAATTTGTCTAATTTTTGTTTCATTTTCTCTTCTTTATTCTAGCTTTCTAAAGTACAACTTAATTTGGGAGTCTTCTTTTCTAATGTAAATGTTTAGTGCTATAAACCTCCTCTTAACTACTGCTTGAGTAGCAGCTCACACATTTGGGCTGCTTTTATAAGTTTAGAGAAATAGTTTGCATTCAAATCATGCAGAGTGTGGCATTTGACTCTTCTCATTATTTCGGGTAGGTGTGCTTTTTTTAGATTATTGAAATTTCTTTGATAAATTTGAGGATTTGTAAGACAATGATATTTTTTTTTCATTACTCTCCCTGTTGTCTTCTCCAATGTGTAGGTCAGACTTAGTTTTATCCAAAGTGAAGAGAGATGCTCTTTAAGACTTATTTCTTAACTCATCTGGAATTGTGGCTGCTTAAACTCCTTTACACCGACTAGATTCAGCAATAAAATTATAAGGCACTATTTAGAATGTTGACTTAAAATCTTATATTCGATGTTAATTACAGGGAATCATTTTTTTGTAGGACACAGTGATTTATGAGAGACTTTCAAAAGATTCCCTGTTTGTGGAGGACACATTAAAACATTTGGAAATTTTTGCCACAGAAGGTAAGTGAGGTTGTTTAGAATCCATTTACTTTTGAAAATGTTGTTCTTAAAGGTTGAGATTATAACCTGAATGCATGTCACTGATGCTTGTTGGGCACACAGGTGGCATGCAGAGCTCTTTTATGTTTGTGGCTTTATAATGCCTTCTGCTTGCTTGAAATTAAATGGTTTCTCCAAGGAATCCTAAGACACCATTATTATTTCCCCCTTTTTCTCCTTGTAATACTTTTGTGCTTATGAGCAAACAGTAAAATGTGTGTTTTTACTATGTATTTCATTATGTTTAGCTCATCATTATCTATTTCTGCAAGCTGTGTTGCCTTTTAGCTGGTTGTATAAGGAACTTGGCCCATAGATGGAGAAAAACACAGGCTTTTCCAATATGTGTTATATACATTTTGTAGTTAATTATTTCCACATGTAACTCAAAAGCCAACGTCACTGACATTTTTCTGTCATTTTCTCAATGTCTTTCTCATGTTGACTTATCATCTTTTAAGGAAATATAATTCCATGAATGAATTTCAACCAAGGACAACATTCACTTAAAGCTTGGCAAAGGCTTTGAAGAACAAGATAAAATATCATTTAAGAGTAAAGCTACTAATATTGGCAAGCTGAGGCTAACTGTGTCCTTTTAGTTTATAAGTTGCTGCTTCATATAACCAAGCATATGTCCATCCTGAAAGTATGGATGTAGTTTTCAAAGTCGTACATTGGACCTTTTATTGCTATTAAAATATAGAAGTGCTGTAGGCAGACTGTATCACATACAACCATATGGGAGCTCTATTATAATTGAACACAAAACAGAGAAACAACTTCTGTGTTCTGTAGAGTCAGTTTGTAGAGAATCCTAAAGTATATAGATGCCAAGATAGCCTTGGCAAAGTATTATAGTATGGTTTTAAAAAAATTTAAATATCCCCACAAAATGGGATTTAAATTAATTTTCTGTTGTTTTGGAGGTTATTTGACAGTAACTGATAACTTGAACCTTTGTTCATTCATTCATTTATTCAGCAGGTAATTAATGAACATCTATTAAGTGCCATATACTCTCCCAAACATCTAGGATAATAGTGGAGCTTAAGTTCCTGAGGAATTCACAAGTGGATAATGTCAGGTGATTCCAAGTTCTACAAAGAAAAAACAGGAAAAGGGAAGCAGGGAAGGATGATGCAGGGTGATTTAGGTCCAGACTGAAGAAAGGAAGGGAAAATGAAGTGGCTTCCAGAGAAGGTGGAAGATTCTGAAAGTAAAAGGACCAGCAAGGATGTTACTGTGAGTAAGGAGGAGCAGAGGAAAGACAGCAAAGGGGGCCAGGAGCACACTGGGTAGGTCCATGTGAGGCACATCTAAAAGGCTTTTGAATATTATTTCTTAATGCTCCACTTGTGCCTGATGGCTGGTTGCTGATCACGTTCTTGCTTGCAGGTCTGAGGACTCTCTGTATTGCCTATACTGATTTAACTGAGACAGAGTACCAAGACTGGTTGCAGGAATATAAAAAAGCTAGTGCAGTTTCACAAAACAGAATTCAAAGACTGGAGGAATGCTATGAGATTATTGAAAAGGTAATGTAACCCACATGCACTCTGCATGCCAAGATAAATATATGATGGAGGGCTGGGGTTGTACTCAATGGTAGAGCACTTGCCTCGAATGCAAGAGGCACTGGGTTCAATCCTCAGCTACCACATAAAAATAAATAAATAAAATGAAGATATTGTGTCCACCTACAACTAAAAAAATATTAATATATATCATAGAAATCCACTTGTCAATGTTTTCATATTTTGTTGTACTTTTAAAAATGTGTTAAACATTTAATAGGTTAATTATTTCACACATAATTATGTATGAGGGTTTTTCTTTAAAAGTATAAACCTGTTCTATGCTGAAATTCATAAAATATGTCCTAAAAATATTTCTGTCTCTTCTGCATCATAGCCTAATCACTTCAATTTTGTAACCATTTTTATACCTTTTCCTGTTTCTAAAGAAACACATATTCATTATAGAAAAACAAGCAAAAATAATAAGTAATCACCTATGTTGGGCTAATAAATAAGCTCTGGTATATAAGCTTCCAGTCTCTTCCTTTTCTTTATATAGCTTTGTATTATATATATTTAACCTACACATATACACGCACAAGTTTTTCCCGTGAATATTAGCACATCCTGTATGTACTACTTGAGTCATGAATTTTTCATGTAATAAATTGGGAATATTTTTCCACATCATTCAATATTCTTTCTTTTTTTTTTTTTTTTTTTTTTTTTTGTGGTGCTGGGGATTGAACCCAGGGCCTTGTGCATGTAAGACAAACACTCTACCAACTGAGCTATATCCCCAGCCCTCATTGAATATTCTTATATGTTGTGAGCTCTACTGTCTGGTGATTTCTTTTCTTCAGGGAAACATCATGTGCCCAGGATTGGAGAGCGTCCATCCAGGGTCATTGTGAATCTGCTTCGGTTAAGGCCCCAGGGATTTCACAGGTCTTGGGCCAACCTTTATTTCAGTTTTTTGGCTTGGAATTCTTTTGTCCTTTGGCCCTGTGAACTCGGCATTGCATTTCTGGAGAAGTTTGGCTAGAAGATATTTAAATTAGGTCTAAATATTAGATAGCTCTCCTTTTTTAATTTGTTCTTTTTTAATCGTAATTTGTTACATATGACAAAGGATGCATGACAATTCATGTCACACATACAGAGGACCCTCTGGAAAGGAAACTACCCTATTTACAATAACATTAAAAAAAATACTTAGGAATCAACTTAACGAAAGAGGTGAAAGACCTCTACAATGAAAACTGTAGAATGCTAAAGAAAGAAATTAAAGAAGACTTTAGAAGATGGAAAGACCTAAATTTGTTCTTTTTGGTTAGACATATATATGTTATTTTTCAAAGTCATATATTGAAAGAGTTGCCATCGAATCCAGCTTCACGCCAAGTGTATGGACTCTAAAGTATCCCTCCTAAGTAATTAGTCAGCTTCTGCAGACAGATTGTAATGAAGGGGACTAGTGAGTGCATCATCTGTTTCTTCCTTATGGTTCCATTTTGGAGTCTCCCGTGGGGCATTCCCAATTTTTACCACAGGCCATTCATTTCTCCTACATCCTGAGAAGAAATCTGTAAACTGATCTTCTGGAACAGAGTACAAGTATTGTGGCAATGATTTTTCAATTAAATGGTTATATTTAAATTTTATTTAAAATATAGGGCAGGGGATTTATTGGGAAAAGAGTAAAGATGAGTAAGAAAGTCATAGGATAAGGAAAATAATAAGTAGATTTGCTTTTCCTAGCATATGTAATGCCGATGGTAAAACTGGGAAGTGGAGTGATTTTGAATGTTAGGGTTTGCCAGTACAGCTTGAGCTCTCACACAGTGCCTGGCTGCAGGGAGTGTTCAGGAACGTTAGGTGAATGGGTGAATGAATATTGGGTTGAAAACTGCAAGTTTCTCTGCTATTCAAGAAAAAAATAGGCATGTATAAGGAAAGGCTTGGTGTTGACTGCCAGGGCACATTCTGTTCCTTAAATAATAAAAAGCAGGCGGCCCATGTCAAGCCAGTTTCCCCCCATTTGGTCTTGTGTGGTTATCTGGCCTGGGTAAAAGTCACATTTTTATATCTCCAATGTACTTGAATGCCTGTAGTAACAATGAGTATGATACAATGCTGTTGTTAGGATTAACAAGCCTTTAAAAGGTCAGAGTGGAAGTCTAATCAATTTTAGACAGTTTAACAAAGCAAAATCATACTACTTATTAAAGTTCTATTTCTCAATGACTATATGATTTAAAAAATACAGGGTAGCATCAGTTCTCAAACATTACATTACTATTTAGCCTGACAGAAGACAAGTTATCAGACTCTGTGATGCTAAGATCACATTGATAATCATCAAGTGTATTGACCACTATTTCTTCACTTTCCTGACTTGATATTTTTCATTTCACTCAGAAGTAATGAGTTCCTGAGGGCTGAGTCATGCAAGCTAGACTTCTATGGGGCTGGGAGCTGGATCTTGCTATTCGTTTCAACTCTGCCATGGGAGGCTTACTCTGAGAACTAGAGGAATTATTCATTGCCAGGCGCTGTGACACATGGCTATAATTTCAGTGGCTCAGGAGATTGAGACAGGAGGATTGTGAGTTCAAAGCTAGCCTCAGCAGTGGCAAGGCACTAAGCAGCTCAGTGACACCCCATCTCTAAATAAAATACAAAATAGGGTTGGGGATGTGGCTCAGTGGTTCAGTGCCCCTGAGTTCAATCCCCCATATCAAAAAAGAAGAAGAGGGGGAGGAGGAGGAGGAGGAGGAAGAATTGCTCATTGAAGGGACTTCATAAAATGAACACATACAAGAGACAAAAATAGATGAGAGGGCTGCTTAGTGTACATAGATTTTGTTTGGATGGACCTGGATTTTCATAAGATAACATATCTTTTAAGTTATCATAGCTTCAAAACAATAACAAACCACAATGATTTTGGGTGGTGTTGATTTTTTTTAATCTATGCTGTCAATTCTAGTTTTCTAGGTCTGGAATACCTTTACCTCATCTAGAATAGCCAAAAGTCTTGTTGTTTTGTTGTCTTTATTTTATATTAGCCAGTAGATCCTCTTATCACCTTATGACTTGTGCTAATTTCAACAATTGTAGATGATGGTATATTAGTTGTATGGCCACTCTCTGCAGACATGATTGTTGGGTCTGTGAACTGTCTGTTGTAGACAATTCCATGCCTATCGTTAGGGTCCTTCTTATTTTCAGATATCAGAAGTATTTTCTGGCCCTCTTTCTAGCTCTTGAGGCCAGCAGCCCTTCTTGGCTTCTTAAACATTTTTCCTTTAGGAAATCATAAGATATTTATTTTCTTGTTGGGTAAAATAAATTTTACCCAAATAAACAAATAAAATTTCTATATTTGAATCAGTAGTCTTTGAATGTACAACTTAGATCATAATGGCTAAAGTAATTAACTATCAACTTGCCAAGATTTTTCTGTTGGTTATCAATTGATTGGAGAGACTTTATTCTGAGGCCCTCTGGCTTTATAGTTGCTCTGAAATGTTCATTTCAAAAATATAATAGCTTTATTGGTATATAATTAACATACTATACAAGGCACTCATTTAAAGCATATAATTCTATGGTTTTTAATATATTCACAGAGTTGTATAACTATCAAAAAATGAAAACAGAACATTTCAACCTATTCCCCAAACTCCATCCATTCACTCTGTCCCCCAATTTTCTCCCCCAGACAGAACCACTAATCTGCTTTCTATCTCTATAGATTTGCCTCTTCTGGACATTTCACATAAATGGAATTGTATGATACGTGGTTTTTAGTGACTTCCCTTCTTTCATTTGGCATAGTGCTTTCATGGTTCATCCACCTCATGGCATGTTTCAGTTCTGAATAATATTCCATTGTATGGGTATACAATTTACTTATCCATTCATCTGTTCATAGACATTTGAGTGGTTTCCACTGGTGAGCATTATGAACAATTCTGCTATGAGTGCTCAGCTGCAGTCTTTCACTTGGACACAGACTTCCATTATCTTGGGTAGATACCTAAGAGTAGAATTGTCAGGTCACATGGAAACTCTATTTATAACCATTTCAGGGGCAGCCAGACTATTTTTCAAAGTGATTGCACTATTCTATATTCTCACTCCCAGTTTGTGAGTTTTACATTTCCTCCATCTTCATTAATACTTGATATTCTCTATCATTGGTTATAACCATCCCATGGCTATGAAGTGATATCTCATTGTGGTTTTGATTTGAATTTCTTTAAGGATCATCTTTTCATATCTTTATTGATATATATTCTTTGGAGAAATATATATTGGATATATCTATCTTTTTTTTTTTTCTTGGTTCTGGGGATTGAGCCCAGGGGCACTTAACCACTGAACCACATCCCCAGCCCTTTTAAAAACATTTTATTTAGAGAAAGGATCTCACTGAGTTGCTTAAAACCTCACTAAGTTGCCGAGGCTGGCTTTTAACTTGTGGTCTTCTTTCCTCAACCTCCCAAGCCACTGGAATCATAGCCATGTGCCACCAAGCCTACCTATTCAAAATGTTTGAACCCTTTTTAATCAATAGATTTATTTTTAGAGCAATTTTAAGCTTACAGAAAAAAAATAGAGCAGAATGTAGAGAGTTTACATATGCTCCTTCTCACTTATCAACTTTCCCTATTTATATTGCATTATTGTGGTACATTTTGTTATAATTGATGAATCAATATCAATTGTTACTAAAGTTCATAGTTTATATTGGAGTTCATTCTTTGTGTTTTAGAATTCTATGGGTGTTATAGTTTGGATGTGAGGTGTGCCCCAGAAGCTCATGTGTGAGACAATGTAAGAAGATTTGGAGGAGAAACGATTGGGGCATAGCCTTAACCTAATCAGTGAATTAATTCCTGATGGAACTGAATGGTAACTGGAAGCGTGTGGGGTATAGCTAGAGGAAGTGGTACATTGGGGGCATGGCTATGAGGTATATATTTTGTATTTGGAGAGTAGAGTCTCTA